ATTCCTATTTTTGCATAATTTTTTTAGTTTTTGAGTAATTGTGATAAAAGCTTATATGTTGAAATTTCTTGATACAATTGTGTTACATTGTGATAATATATACATTTAGTTATGGTTGTTAGCTTAGATTTGAGAAATTTGTTAATATGGTGACAAATTTTATAATTTTTCTCATGAAAGCACACTAGACTTTTGTTTGCAATTTCTTATTTTCGTGTATAATTTGCATTTGTTTGCTTGAAATAAGTGCATCTTTATGCAAATTGATGATAAATTGTGGTAAGTATAGTGGGTAGTTATGTATTGGTTTGAAGGAAAGTGCCAAAAGTTGAGAATTGTTTGAATTGAAGATGTTTTTCGTAAGCCTGATGTAAGACGCTGCGATGAATTGATGTTTGGGGAAGCTTAATGTTATAGCATAGTGTCATTGATAGTCTACTTGACTTTCAAATTTTATTCCAATCTTACAAATGGTTTTAATTGTCAAAGTATTGGAAGTATTTAGCGTATCATGACAACCTTGTTGGTAATATTCATTCTCAATGTGAGAATTGTATTTGTGAGGTCTTACGTAGATTTATTGCTTGAATTTTTGGTAAATGTTGGCAGGTAGTTTAGCTCTTTTTCAAGAGGAAATTCTGCCGAAATTTTTTTAAATTCTTATTTAATACGTGCGAGCAAGTTTCTACGATTTCTAATGAACGTTCATCTTGCTTTTGGTATAGGTATTATGGCTCGCACAAGAAGGTCTAGAGCACCGACACCTCCATTTTCGTCGACAGAGGAACACACACCTTCCTTGCATGAGGAGTCACCTGAAGAGGAATCTCCGTCACCAGAGCCGCCACCTCGCTCTCGCCGGAAGACCGCGTCTACTAGCCGTGACGAGCCACCTCCGGACTACGATACCACTCGATTTACCTCGCTTGAAAACCAAATATGGTATGAATTCGGCTTAGACAAGGAGATTATCATCGAGAAGCACTTGGCACCGGAAGTGGATGCACACTACCACATCTCCACAGCATTCAAGCGCCTTGGTTGGGAAAACATCTTACAACTTCCCAAGCATTACTACCCAACCTTGGTCCGGGAGTTCTATGCCAACGTGGAAAACAAAGAAAGCCACAGTGGCAATGTCATCGTCTCGTGGGTTCGAGGCAAGAGAGTGGCTCTTACTCGGGATACACTGGGACAGTTCGTCAAACTTAAAGACGAAGGACAAGATATCAAATTGACGAAGGAGTTCAAGGCGCGAGACCCTTGGCAGGTGGGAGAGGCGGTTGGACGCCTCAAGGGCCAGTATAGAGAGAGAGGAACTGCGAAGAAGCTTACAGTTTACGCCGATTCATTCGAGCATAGGTACCACATAATCTTCTACCTGTTTGCCTTCATTGTGGTACCAAAAAAAAGTGGAAAACGGGAGCTCCGCAATAGTGATCTCTACTTTTTGGACAAAATGATGCATGGTGTGGGTGCGCAGCTGACCGGCATTCCTCTACCCAATATTATCATCAGTTATAGGCCCTGAACAGATTCAACATCCGTCCTTAAGCCTGATGTAAGACGTGGCTCTAACGAGTCCCTACCACAATATCCCTGTGCCCATTGTGATACCGATGCCGTCTCAGGTACTGCTGTACTAGAGTTTGGTTGAAATCTTGTCGGATCCATGCATGCATGGACAAGCGACATCATCGGACCTAAATTAGTATTTGGTGAAATGAATGTCCCGGTGACTCGAGGATTTTGGAATTTTTCATCGTTCTCGATATACAGTTCTGCGGTGTATGGAACAATTTCAGTCCATACATCGTACATTATCGCAAGAGTTTCATCATCAACCACTGGGAACACGTTATAAGAGCTCCGGCCACAAGGTTGACGGAGAAATATATTCAACTTGAACAGCCCCCTATCGACCCCCATATATTCATAGATTCTATCCACCAACTCATCATATCCAATCCTGCATCGTAATGAGAATGTACGGTTGCAGGTACGAGGCAAGTAACAAATTGACCCATCCTCGTAGTGTATTTTACCTCCCCAATAAAGAGACACGCGCAGAGGTCTTTCTATAGACATGCGTGTGGAAAGAATCCCTATTTTGGAATAAAATAAGTTAGCTCATGCGGTACAAGAGTATACATCAGATAACAATCCCTATCCATTGTTACTGTTTCAAGTGTGATACTTAGGACAACTCACCTTAATCATTATGCATGTGCGTTTAAGGTACAAGTTAGTAATCGTGTGCTGTAGTCAGCATGTCATTTTCCATGTGTGTTTGTGTCACCCACTGAGTTTTCCAAACACATAATTATGTGGTCCAAGATAAGGTACTGGAGCAGAGGATCTGGGGTGCAATGAGGGATTTGTTCAAATGAACCACCTCGTTCCCGTAGATCTTGCTTGTTCCGATATACCTTTTTGGATCTATTCACCCAAATTCAAAGAAAATATGCGTTGGTAAACTAGATAACATAGGTATAGAAAAACATACTTATACAAAATAAAAAAATGTCCATGCAAGGGGGTTACTTTGGTGTCCCATTCCGACAAGGGAGGTGTTCAAGCATTTTAAATGCGACCCCCATATATTCGCATTTTCCACGTCATGCTCCTTACCAATTCCTTCACACATATTAACAACTTAAGAGTGTATATTTATCTCATTATTTGTTCTTACTTTGTAAAACCCTTTGTTTCCTTTCTGTTGATGCCAAGGACTAAATCATGATGATTGTCTTTTCTTGTTTTTATCATTTTTTCAACTTTTCTATAAAATGCAGATGAACGCCCAACATTTAATCCAACCATAATGTTTTCACAAAAAATAAAATACCAAAAATCCCAACAAAGGTGAGTCCTCACATTCACCTTTTCTTTTTTAAAAAAGAATTGTGGATGAGTTTTTCTCTTCCCAAAAATGGGGTTTGTTTTTAAGGACTGTCAAGTTAAAACTAAATAATATCCTCCATGACGAAAAATTTGAACGCTAAAATTCCTTATATGAAAGCTTGGTATGATAGAAGAAGAGCTATTGAGCTTGTTTATGGCGTTTCGGTTACCGATTTAGTTGATTTACTCAACTATATGGAAGCATTTGGCCAATTAAGTAATATTAGTCTATACTTAAAACACCCTTGTCGCATGGAATGTTTTTTAAATTCGTCATCAAATTTGCGAATTTGTCAAACACAAATTACACAAAGGCCTCCGGCTGCTTATTGTTTCTATACGTGAAAAGCATCATAGAGAATCCAATAGCCAATAGAAGTATTAGAATTGCAAAGATCACACTGGCCGGACTGGTGCAAAAGTTCTATCTTGACATATTAAAAAATTCTGTAGTATGAAATTGGAACCCCCTCACTTTTGATGCCCACTAATTTAACTATGGCTTGAATCTGATATATATAGCATGATTTTCATATCGACAATTGGCAAGTAATGGTTATAGTCAGTCCATTAAAAAGAAAATAAACAAATCAACAGAAACCGCATATGTACAAACATTTTGTCTTATACACAAAAAGCTTTGGATAAAGAAAGAAAAGAACCTTCCTGTACAGAAAATCAAATCATGTTTCATCATACAATCTTTGTGTCACCCCACTTTGGTTAATAAAGTTTTCTAATTATAGGATTAAGTGTTTACCTATAACAGCCAAAGATTGAAAGACCGGCAACTATGACAAATGGTAGCCAGAGATTATTATTGAACGAGTCATGCTTATTATATCTATGTCACCCTGTTATACTAACCTAGCAAGACAAACAAGAAGATGTGTTCAACAACTGAAAAACATGTTTTGGAAGATTCTGTCAAATTCTCACTTCACTTCACCAAGTAACCAATCGTGTCAAAATATCGTTCCAATGAACCAAATGAAAGTACTTGAAACAAGGGAAACTTTTTACATGCTTCAATATCAGATTATAATATAACTCCACAATGGCATGGTTATCAATTACTGAATTAAGTGACAGAAGGGACCATTAGATAGGCTGTCGAACTTTCCGCTTTTTTTTTTTTTACTTTACTCCACTTTTTCAGATAATACCAAAACAAAAAGGCTTTTACTTAGGCCTTTGGTGGAATTTAGCAGTGAAGTACTGGAATTTAACTGTTTAGTACCAACACCTAAATAGATCCGAGGGCGTATCTATTCATAAAGTCCTCGGATCCTACATGGCTCGGATCCACTATAACAGAAGTTTATCCGAGGTCTCGGATCCACCAGGAACTTTTGGATCCGAGCTCGAATCCCCCTGTTTTAATTTTTGGCGTTTCAAACGATCCGAGGTCGGATCCTTCTGGGTTTTATAGATTCGAGCTCGGATCATACGCCCAAAAATTACAGCATTACATATTCATTATACACAGGGCCGAGGGGACGGAAGGGCAACCAAAAGCCAGTAATCAACAACGACATAACTTAAACAAACAAAGGGAACAAGGATAAACAAACCTGGTATAATCTGAGTTGGGTAGCAGCTGAGAAATGCAGCGGCGGCGAAGAGTGTGGTGCAGCGGCGAAGATGCAACGGAATTAGACGGACAAAGGGACAACCAAAACCCAGCTGCGATGAATTGATGGGTAACAGCTGAGAAATAAGATTCGAAATTGTGCTCAAGCGGGAAACCCAACAGTGTCTTGGAGGCTGAAGTCGGTTGGAACTTATGATTCAACAGGTGAATTTACACAATTGCGGTCAGAATTCAAATTTTGGTCAAAAAAGCTTGAGTACTTCGCATTTCTTGAATGCGAGGAAACAAGCTCGCATTTAGAAAATGCGAGCTCTTGAGCTTACAACTGACGACCGTAGCTTGTTTTTCTTTTTTTTTTAAAGCACCTACCTCGCATTTGTGAAATGCGAGGTACCTGAACTCGCATTTCACAAATGCGAAGATCACATTTGTGGAAACAGACCAACTAATCACCCCCTTTGTAGTATAACTTTTGTTTTTCATCACAAAATAAGAATTTTCTCTCATTTTCACCCTAAAAAAAAAAATTAACTCATTTCGGAATATATTTATTTATATTCCTCCAGCCAAAAGAATATATTTATTTATACAACAAAGGCCTCAGCAAGTCCGCCTAACGCTTCCTCAGCAAACTGTGTCTTGACTTTCTCTATACGCATGATTCAGAACTAAACTTGTAGGATAACCCATAATTCTCTAACCTTTTCCACAATTGATAGCCAATTTACCTCAATATCATCACCATATTCCCGATTCTTGAATCCTGAAAATGTCTCTCAGGGCAAGACCAACATCATCAAATCAGAATATATCCTCAACTTCTGATCCTGCAGCAGAAGAAACCAGCACAAATGCGCCTGATGCCCGCAAGCCTCCACCAAGTCCTCCAACACCATCTTTCTACCAACGTGCACTAGAAAGCACAGCCCACTTGGCCAACCTCCTCCCAACAGGGACCCTTTTAGCCTTCCAGCTACTCACACCAATCGCCACCAACAACGGCTCCTGCGATGCGGCCACACGGCCGATGACCTTGATCCTCCTCCTCATCCTTGGCGTTTCTTGCTTTCTTGCTTGTTTCACTGATAGCTTCAGGGCCTCAGATGGACAGGTTTATTACGGTTTCGCGTCGCCCAGAGGGCTATGGGTGTTTGATTACCCTGCTGCATCAGCTTCAGGAATTCCTGGTGATCTCAGTAAATACAGGTTAAGTTTCATCGATGTGGTTCATGCGGTTCTTTCTGTGTTTGTCTTTGTTTCAGTAGCTTTGAGGGACAAAAATGTGCTCAGCTGCTTTTATCCATCCCCTAGTCATGAAACTGAGGAGGTTTTGGATATCTTTCCTATAAGTATTGGCCTCATCTGCAGCTTGCTATTTGTCATATTTCCTACTAGACGGCATGGTATTGGTTATCCTGTCACGTCCGGCAAGTGATTGGCTACCTTGTACATCTGAGATAGATTCAACGATGTTCATTATTGTCTTTTGGCGATTAAACAGCACAATAATTTCTTATTGCTGTAATTGGTAAAATAGTTTTCCTTCCATCTTGCTTTCAACTTCTAGTTTTGGTCCCAAAACATTATCGCATGGGACTTTGACGACAACCAAGGGAAAGGAACAAACCATGTGTACAAGAAGTCTGGAAGTTTCCTTGAGAGGAATTTACTTGAAAACAAGCCGAGTGGTCTACCAAGTAAAATTACCGAGACGGTAGAATTTAATTTGGCATATTTTGAAAAGATTACTAACCATCTGGCTAAATGGCCACCATACCGTCATTATGTCTAAAAAGCAGAGTGCACCCAAGAAGTTCTTTCCTTTGAAGGAAGAAGAGATTTTAGGCTTCTGCAAACTGTGTAGCAGATATCCCAAATTGAACTTCGGGAGATAACTTAATAGCACTTGCTTATAAGTTAAACCGATAATGTTGCCTACGAGTCCAATGAAAGAAAGGTCAGTTGAGGTCATTTTCAGGGGAAGGTGGTTCCACAGAGATGGAAGTGGAAGTGTACAAATTGAAAACCTTCGACGGATATACCAACAAATTTGAGCAAAATTTTGAAAATTTTGAATATTCTTCACGCAAACAACAGCTTAATTGAAACTAACTGCGTGTGTATAATCTTTAGCAGCCGCAATTCTCAATCATTAATACACATTATCAGCACACAAAAGATAACGAAGCAAAACAGGTTATGATTGCTGATCCGTCTCCGATGATGGCATCTGCTGACTTGTCCCTGCTTGTTCACCACTAGCGGAAGGAACTCTAGCATGATGTTGCTCACCGGTAGCTGGCGGTGGAGCACTGGGTGATGGTGTCGGCACTCCAGACTGATAAGGAGGATGATGCTGTTGATTGGACCCAGGTGGTGCTCTGTGCTGATAAGCTGATTGGTGGTCTGTGCCGGTGGGAGGTGGAGGCACTCTGGACTGATAAGGAGGGGGGTGTTGATGATTTGTCGCATTACTGGGAGGTGGTGGAACCATTGAAGCCGGATAGGGGGGGTATTGCTGATAAGGAGGAGGTGGAGGTGGCATATACCCGTAAGGGGGATAATATTGCTGATAGAATTGACCTTGAGGAGGTGGTGGTCCACCAGGGTAAGCATAATGCTGCCCCTGATGCTGCTTCTCCGGACCACTTCTGTTATCACCACTCCCAGATGGTCCACTTGAAGCTCCATCTTGGGCTGGTACAAGAGCACCCATTCTTTGAGGATCCATCGAGGGATAAAATGCCCTCTCCTGCTGAGGCTGTGGAGGAATATTAAAGTAGGGCATAGCTGGGGGTTGGTCATGTGTGCCTGGTGGCTGAAGAGGCTGGTTCTGCTGCTGTGATATAACAGCCCTAGGCAACAAACCACTATGAGCCACTGCCGCCTGCTGTCTTGCTTCATCAGAGATTTCAGATTCTGGTTTTGGTGCTTGTGGTCTCCCCCAAAGCAGCTTCAACCTCAGACCCTTTATTACCAGTTTGTTTGCAAGTTCTTCAGCTGCTTTCTCAGCACCTTCTCTTGTCGTGTAAGCTACAAATGCACAAGCTCGTTGGAGCACCATCTTTATGGATTCAATTTCACCATGAGCATAGAAGTGATCCCTCAGATCTTGCTCAGTGATTCTTGCATCAAGTCCACCCACATAGAGGGTTCTTATGTTCTCATCTTCAGGGGGCTCAAGCGAAGGCATTTCACCAGCCTTGTTGAGAAGCTTCATTGCCACTGGATCATTGACTCTACAAGCAAAATGAAATGGGTAATAAATCAGAACAGGTTGATGCAATTGACAGGATACTAACAAGGAGCCTCCCAATAAGTAATATACCACATTTACACCACAACCTAGATATGGAAGTGCACCAAAATAGAGATTATATAAATCACAGAACACAATAAAAAAAAAAAAGACATGGAGCCACCGACAAACCCAAGCTAGCATATATCAGGTTCAACAAGGTAACAAAAGCAACTATAGAAGCAAACTGGGATAAAAGGCATAAATCATAGTTTTCCTCTGGTGTTTTATGCACTCAGGGACCAAATCTTATGAGTAAATTAGACAAGAACGAATGTACTTTTTACAAGGATAACAGCTCCAGATATGCTCCTCTGCAAGCTTCAAAAATCAATAACAATAATGTTTTCAACATTAAATAAACATATGATGGCATTGAACATCGATGCCACACTGAAGCATATTAAGCAACTACTTGAAACCATGAGTTCACTTAATTTCAGGAATACTTCTGTTGAAAATGGAGATATATGCAAGAATGAGATCATCTTTCAGCGATACCATGTAGGACATCCATCAGCAATAAAACACGACATAATGTTAGTTTGACATCACTTCAGAGCCTACAAAACATTGACTTAAACCAATTCTTACTAGATAAAGGCACAATATCATTCGTTCTTTTACAGCTACGTATGGAAAACTATCAACTAAATTATAAAAAGGAAAAATTCTCCAACTTTGATTCAAAGCAACAAACTTATCACACCCTCGCAGAACTAAAATCAAATCATTGGTTTCTGTTCATGCATTTTCTCTTTCTTTGAGAAGTCATGCATCTGAAAAAGTTTCTACACTTGCACTGCAAAACACCTGCCTTCACTCTTTAATAGCATGAGCATCTAATACACAATTTCCAAGAGAAAAAGCTCTGAAAGTGAATGTGTTAGTTAAAATCACCAGTATCACTCTCCTTCCACAATGACGCTGCTAAATGTTTCACATACAGGATAATTTGAGATGGAAATGACTTTAATATACAACTGCATACTACACATGCAGCAAATCGAACAATACCACTGAAAATAGAGGAAAAAGGTCCATAGTTTTACATACCCATAGTAACGGTCCTTGATGTTTTGCTGAGATAGTTCCCCAGTAACTGGCATCTCATGTCTGTATGGGCACTCGAGACCCCTTGTACATTGTCCACGGACATAGAAACTGCAAACATGAGCACGATTTCTCTTATAATAGGGAGTTGTCCTTTGAAGCTTTAGAATTGTGTCATTTGGCCGCACCTTCCCATAGGAAGATTCATAATCTATTCCTGCTCTTGCCTGCAAAAGGGGAAGAGTAAGTCCCAAAAGTTGAAGAGACTAGCATAATAAACAATATTCTATATTTGCTCCTGACCAAATAGAAAAACAAAAGACAGGAAAAAAAAATTCCCCTGGTGGCTGACAACAGGTGACAAATTAAAAGTAGCAGTTTTCTACTTCATGAGACAGAATGGACTTTCAGTCCAACTTGTTTTGGCTGTATATCAGGCTCTCATCTAAGTGTTGTTAACATGACAGCTTTTCTGGCAAGCACAAAAAGGGATAAAAAGAAGAATATACACAAAAGTTTACTGCATCCATAATTTGACCCAGAGCAGGAAAAATAAGAGAAAACAATACAGATAGTTTAACTATACCACACATACACCGGGAAAAAAAAATAAGGAAGAGGACAACCTAACTGAATAAAAACGTGAACATTGCCTAACAGGAAGTATATATCAAACAGAGCATAAGGGAAGTAGTAGACTCAAGGAATCTCAGACCCAAATAGAGGGGGATAGAGAACTTTGTTGCTCTTTTTGCTTTTCCATTGGTAAGATGTTCATTTGAACTGCCCAAAATGAGGACTAGGATTTCTTCCCCACATCACATTGTAATGCAATGCTTTTCATTGGAAAGATGTCCCAAAATTAGTTACAGAAAAAAGTTAAAGACCATTATTATTTATGGAGAGTAATATAAAAAGGAGTAGACAGTATCACATTAAGTATGCTATTCTTGGAAAGTTGGATTCAGAAAAAGCACCTCTAATTGTGGAAAGCAGGGAGTTCAAATTTTTTTACTGTGTAGCATATTTGGTCATACATATATTAACAGGCTAGAATCAGTTTACTTTATTATTTTACCTGCTTCATCATCCACATACAATCATCAGGTTAATCTAACAAAACCATGAGCAAAGCTACATACCCTGCGATCATGCTCCTCAGCAAAGTATTCTCTGTTCACATCACTCTTTGGGATGGCATCATTTGAATTAATGCTTAATGCGGTGTCTCGAACCTGAACAGGTAAACCATATTCTAGATCCAGAAGACAAACTTGACAAACATTCTTCAGCTTACTGCAAGTCTGACAGATCTCACTTTTCTTATACCTTGCATCACGACCAGGCCTCCACCTGAAAACAGTGAAAGGCCGTGTGCAAATCTTGCACTCCTTGTCATAATCTGCTTTTGTCTAAAAGCAACCATCAAAATTGACAACATTGACAATAGTCAGCCCAGATGTTCTAAAAATCAGATATAGGATCATTATATAACTGAGATAACTGCATAAAAGGTTTAAGAAATGCGGTATAGAATTATTCCTCATAGTAAAATCAATTAGATAGCTGAATCCAAACAATGTGAACCACCTTTACAATTAAGGTCAGTAGAGCAGCTACAGGAAAGATACATACAGAGAAAAAAGAGGTGGGTGGTGAAGAGATGGATGAAATTAAGCCAGCCGCAGCCAATAACATCACTCAGAGGTCAATAAAAAATCCTTGTTTCAAGGTTGTGAGTCACAGTATATATTTCGAACATCTACTCATCTAGCACCCACCTTTATCCCAGCCAAAGTCTCTGTTTTTACTAGCTTACTAGAGCTAGTCACCTTCCTTCTTGCACACTTGCAAAATTCTAACTACAACGTATTTCTGCTACCCATCTAGAGTCAATTTTCCCTTCACAATAAAAAATGTAAACCAGCAATCCATAGTTTATATGACGTTTATATGACAAACAGCTATGCTACGAGCAATTATAAGCTGAGCATTCGATTCATAATTAGACCGTAGCATATACCAAGAATAAATGTAACTGAGAACAAATTTCCCGGGATACTAACTTTGCAGCTAAATGGAAACCTGACATATCCACGATAAATGTTATGTTTAAAAAACTCTAAAGTGTTTTGCCACACAAATAAAAAAAGATTCCTCACCTCCCACACTGCCCACCCCCAGTTCACAATTTTATAACAGACATTGGGCTAACGAATATTGCCAAACTTCCAATGCATATACTACAAAACACTTGTATAAATCCAGTAATCAAATTCATAAAGAAAGTTAAAACGCTGCCAAGCAAGATTTGGACTTCACGTTGCCTTAATTAAAGTAAAACGTCGGAAGACTATCAATTTACTTCACAAAACACCAAATTGGGGAAAAGGAAAAAAAAGCCCTAATTAACCCAGAAAAGCTATAAAGCTGAGAGGGCGGGTAACAACAGAAACATTACCATTCGAACATAAGGGCTGTCGCCGAGGCAAGACTCGCATATGATAGGGAAGTCGGATCGTTCCCATCCGTCTGCTTCAGCGTCTCTCAATAGTCTGTGCGCCATTTCATCAGAATTTCACTCTGCAAAAAAAGTTGAAATTCATAAGTAACCAAATAAACATAAATAGACGACCCAAACGCGTAAATTGGAGGATTAACACGATAAAAGGAGCTTTATTTTTTGAAATTATTGAGGAGAGGCTGTAGGAATATGCAGCACCTTCTTGATTTCTGTGGAAATTAGAGTGGGCGCTTTAGATTTCAGAAGCTCGTTTTATACAGAGAGAATATACTCGATAGGAATGTGACCCAAGCGAGTCCAACCAAAGAGGTGGCTGCAACTTTACCGTATATACACAGGCGAAGCCGCAAGAAGGCGGCGGAACAAGGACGCGGAGAGGCCAAGGACGAAGGAGCTATACAATTGGGAATTTTCTCTGTCCTTACCCCGCCTATCTTCTACTAATACTACTAGTTTTCTTTTGGCTTAAGTACGTGTTGCCCCTCGTAATCAAGGGTCAAGCACCAAATTACCCCTCTAGAACATTTTTCCTTTCTGTTTATTCTTCAGAACAATGCACTAAACAATTACAGAAAAATAATTGTATTTGTTTAAGTGTCAAATAAATTGTTAGCAAGCATAAGAAAGGAAAAGAAGACGAAGAAAAATATAAAATATAAGTAAAATATCTATACTCTGTACTTAATTTTTATTTTTAGTAATGATTAGTACGTAATGAGAATTTATTAATAAAATAAAAATTACTTAGAATAAATAGAAAGGCAGGATTCCACCACCCCCAAGCTTTAAAGGAAGGAGAAATTTAATAAACGACAGAGATAAGAAAAAGGAAAAAAATGCGAAAATAAAAATAACTAATGTGGTTGGCAAATTTCAGCAGTAGATATTAGAGTGCCACTTTTGACAAAGAAGAAAGAAAAAAAAAATTATTAGAGTGCTAAAAAAAAAAAAAACTTAGAGAAGCAAGATAAATGAAAATTACTGGAAATCTAGGAATATAACATTTAGAGATTCAATCTGACTACATACTTAGTATTTTTTTTTCGAAACGATAAGTGATTTTATAGATTAATAAAAGTTTTACGGTGTCGAACAAGGATTCAATGGAACTATACAATGACATTGAGGAATCCAAAACTTTTCAACTTGAATGATGTCTAAAGTATATGGGCTAATCCTATTATTAATATGATTATGATCCTTATTAACTAAACAAACGGAGCACATATGAAACAACAACTTTAAATGATGCATGTCTTCCAACAGGGCAGCTAATCTCATATCCTGAGTTTTCCTAGACAGGATGCGGTTGAGAGCCTGCTTATTGTGAATTTGGACCTCAATCTTACTCCAGTTCTATACTGCAGCTTTGCTCATCAGAAGTTTGATAGCTGCTACCTCAGCGACGAGTTGTTGCCTAATACTTCTCTCTTGTAATGCCTAACCCTAAAAGGGGCGTTGGTTGTCCATTGAAATTGTGACCCCAATCGCCATTTGTGGGTCGTCTTTCAGCTTTTCTGTTGCAAATCTCAACCTCATTGTACCTTCTGTATCTTCCTGTTGTTGGGTTATAAACAGGGCCTAAGATGGTCTAATTTAAGTTATCTAATATGTCCAAAAACATTAGGTCTCATTGATAAAAAAAAAACCACATTAGGTCTTTTTTTTTTTTTTTCCGGACACAGAAATAAACACACACACTTAATTAGATTAAGCATGAGAGTTAACGGATAAATCGGCCCGATAAATAAACAGTCTAAGAGGGACCTACAGAGCAATCCGATCCAGCCAATTGATGACAGAACGGGCACCTTATGGACCTTAAACCCAGCCATTAGGTCTGAACATGCTGAATTGGATTATTCTCAAAACCGTGCAACAAACATATTACTATCAATCTGTGTTGTTATGCCTTGGACTTTGGCTTGGCTTCACCTACCGACTACCGAGTCCCCTCTACAATTTCTTCAGACGAAATACAACAAAAAAGAAAAACAAAAACTGATAACCGTGAACGCACCTTCGCAGGAATTCGATATTTTCTCTTATCATTTATTTATCAAAAGCATCCTCTCTGGTCCCATGATCCGGAGGTCCCAGCAGATTTAAGTTGATTAACCGCAACCAGATTGTACATGGAAGATCGTCATCTTCAAGATTCCGCTGTCGAGACCTATTCACCGATCTATCGAAGCCAAAAGCCGCCAAGGGAACACACTACACACATTAAAAGCTAGGACTACTAGGAATGAGCATCAGACTTGCAAAAAATTCTTGAATTTATTATTCTTTCCTTCCAGCCGCTAATTCTTTCCTCTCTAGCAATGTCAATCTCTGTCTGCTTCACTCCATCATTCGCTAAACCTTCACAAACCCACAGAAATTTTACCATTTTTAAGCCTCTCAAGCCCATCGATTCCCCAAAATCAAATCTTTTACCCAAACAAAGCTTAGCTATACCCATTATCAAGTGTGCTAGTGAAGATTCCCTTAGCCTGCAGCCTGTGCGTGAGAATCCAGAAAAGCCCGGATGGGAAAATGTATTGTCCGCATTAGCAAGCCTTTATCCTGTCTACGTTACTGTTGGGGGGATTATTGCCTGCTTAAAGCCATCGACTTTTTCATGGTTTGTGGAGAAAGGTCCAGCTTCATATAGCTTGTCACTTGGGTTTATTATGCTGGCAATGGGTCTTACTTTAGAGCTCAAAGATTTGATCAACTTATTCAGGCAAAGACCCTTTTCTGTGAGTTCTTAAATTGGTTCTCATTTTTGGAATTCTATTCTTGCAACTGTTACTTGGGATTAATGGAGATTTTCGCGTGATTTAGATTCTTTTCTGGAACCTTAATTTCGTTGCACCTCTTCATGTTCTTCTTTCCGTCAATTTTTACTTGGTTTCAACTTCAAGATGAAAATTCTTGAAGTGAGATGCTGGTTAGTGATGAACTTGTATGTCATCAGGCTAAAGATCAGTTCTTTTTTGTCCTTTTTTTATTTAAGAATTCAGAGAAAATGTTGAAGACAACATTAAGTTTATCAAAATTAAATGCCCAATTTGTTCCAATTGAGTGCTTATTTTGCTGACTAGGAAGTCGGATACTGCTTAGTATGATAGTCCACTTATACACGATTCCTTTTTGACAAGTAAATTTTCAGAAAAGAATGGTATTTCTGTAGCAACTACTTAGTAGTGATCAGTTGTTTACAGCTCGTGATGGAAAATTAAGTTGGATTTGGTGCTGAAAGAGTATCATGCCAAACTTTGCATGTGCTTGCATACTTACCAGATTAATATATTTAACAAGCTATAATGCTAGTAACTTCTCTCATTTTTAGATACTTTATGGATGTGCTGCTCAGTATACCATTATGCCAGCCTTTGGATGGATAATTAGCAAGTCTCTGGGGCTTCCACCAGTTATGTCAGTTGGTTTAATATTGCTTGCTTGTTGCCCTGGTGGTACAGCTTCCAATGTGGTGAGCTTGATCGCTATCTATCCTCTTTGTCCTGTTCTATAATGGTTGAAGATCGGTGGTATCAGATATATGATTTGCTTTTGCCTGTTGTAAGCTGCTGTACGTCTGCTCCTAGGATACCCATCCTTTTTTTTTTGGGAACTATTGATAGGTTTCAGAAACCAAATTAAAAGGCAAACCTTATGGGCAAATTATGTTCTAAATGGACTATAAACCTATCATGAAGGTTTTTTGAATTCACTCTGATGTTTTGCCTTCAAGATTGAGATTGTGTAGTAGAGGATGAAGAGTTATAACACTTTGCCATAAAGAGCCCTTTAGTTGGTAGTGGGTAATCTTCTGTTAGAAGGTGAGTTAACATTCCAAGTTATCTAGGATATGCCTGTCTACCTTTGTTTCTCAACTTGATCCTAAATGGAAGCCTAATTTCAACCCCTACCCTCTTGAGATGAGTTTATACTGTATAGTAGTACTTTTTTGCTTCTGAAGTTTGATATCACCAGGTGAGCTTTGACGTCCTGCAGTAGTAAAGGAACAGGAATTTCTCTCAGTGAATTTGTTGTCCTTAAGTTGGCAGTGGGTTCTAGATGAAGATATCTGCAGAAATTTGTGCTAACACATGTGCGTTGTGATTGTTGGAAGTGAATGCTTAATTGCAAAAAATGTAGCTTATTCTTTATATTGCCTAGATGTATTATCTTTAACTTACCATCACTTGTCTTAAATAAAAGGCCAATAGAACTTTTTCATCACAGGAGCAAGTCTTACTAATGTGACTATCAAAAGTCAAAGGAAGGGGGACATAGTTCCTTACTATGTAAAGATCATCTGTTCTTTCACTTGAAAGAAAGGAAAATGATCGCATGCCACCTTTTTTTCAGCATTTTTTAGATGTGCAATACATGAAGGCAAAGAACTTATGAGTTGGTGTGTGCTGTGATGGTTATATTGCTGTTACCATCTGTTGCTTCCCATTCACTTCAGTTCTTTGTAATAGTTTTTCAGGTTACCTTAATTGCTCAAGGGGATGTACCTTTGTCAGTTGTAATGACAGTATGCACAACTCTGGGAGCAGTGGTTCTTACTCCCCTGCTGACCAAGATTCTAGCAGGAGCTTATGTTTCTGTGGATGCGGTTAAACTTTCCATCAGCACTCTGCAGGTGTGCTTATGCAACATTGTTTTCACTATTCTCCTACCCGTGAAAATGTATTTTTAACTCTTTCATTGTCCTTATGATTAATTTTTAGGTGGTTGTTGCTCCAATCCTGCTAGGTTCCTCTATGCAGAGTATTTGGCCAGATGCTGTGAAATGCATTACACCTTTTGCACCATTGCTTGCTGTTTTAGCATCATCTTTGTTGGCTTGCAGGTTGTAGTTGTAAAAATTTGATTTAGATAATTGATTTTCTTGTCTTTTATGTCTTTCTTTATGCTTCTTATGGTGCAACATCACCAACAGTATGTATATGCAATCTAATTCTTGCTTTTCCATGTCTCAGTGTGTTCTCAGAAAATGTCATTCATCTTAAATCTTCAATGGTTGGTGCTTCACTATCATCTGATCTTCCTCTGCTTTCTCGTGTCCATACAATCCTCTCAAGTGAATTAGGGATTGTAATTGTTTCTGTGCTGATGCTGCATTTCGCAGGTTTTTTTGTTGGGTAAGATTTTCTTTTTCTTTGCTTTGATTGGAAACTTTTAAAGTTTCATCTCCTCTTTGGTCTTAACCTGCAACTACAGGAGCCTTTCTTTGACTTTTGTTGCATGTAAAGATACATTGCCAACTTGAGAACTAGATGCTTTTATGACAGAATTACTGACAATGGTCAAGGAAGTGAAGTCTTGAGCTTTCACTCTAGGTGTTCAACAGGTTTCTTGGCTTGATGGTCTTACATATTGGATAAATATCACCTTTATATATTTGCCTTAGGCGTAATTGATAATGGTCAAAGCCTCATCTATGCTTTTTACTCTGCCTTTGGCTGCATTTTCAACTTTATAGTTTTAATATCATGTTCAGATAAGTTCTTAAAGAACCAACGATTGTTCTTCAACATGTCGGTTTAAATTGCAAATTTGAGCTGAAATTGTTTTATGCGGACATGTAAGATGTCCTTCTGAAGTAGATTGTTTTTAGTGTTTGTGGGTTTGTGATCTTTAACGTCTTTCCTTAACCACCCATTCCCTCATAACTTGTTTTGATGAGTGTTCCCTTTCTAGTTGAGTTGCCTGCTCTCTAAGAACCACACTCGCCTTTTTCCATTTGCTGATGTTATGATAGACTTGGCCAGAAAGAGCTTCTCCAAGTAAAAGGGCCTTTTTGTGGTAAAGTATTAGAAGAACATATTCGGCTGTTGCATTGACTTCATAATATTAAGATCTGTTGTAGAACAGCAGTTGATAGTTTTACCAGTGACAGAATGCTGTCCAACTGTGGCAAACATGCAAACACTGATTTCTGTCTAATTCATTATTTATTTTTTAAATTCTGAGGCCTTTTTGCAGTTATCTGTCTGCTGCAATTGGTGGATTTGCAGAGCCTCAACGACGCGCCATGTCAATTGAGGTAATTTTTATCTTATTTATCAGTTAATAGTGTTTTGATCAAACTTACATGCTTGATTGATCCCTGGTTCTTGATTAAGTTTTTGAATGTTCATATGGTTGTGGTACGAACACGTTCAGCATGCATTTACAGATTTTGTGAAGTGCTTGTAACTGAAATTAATGAACCATGAAGTTGATGTTTCTAAATCATTCCTTTCCAGTAATTTTCCATATATATAATGAATACTTACAATAGAAGGCATGTATAGCTGTGAAAAACCACCATAGTATGCGGAGTGTATTGAAACAAGCTCTTACGGGAGGGTGTCTTCTTGCCTGTAGTTAGGTATGTGGCATTCTATCCAACTTACGTTTAACACCATGCATTGCAGGTTGGAATGCAAAATTCCTCATTAGGAGTGGTTTTAGCTACCTCCCATTTTTCTTCTCCAATGATCGCATTCCCCCCTGCAATGTCAGCTGTAATTATGAATATCATGGGTAGTACTTTGGGTTTCATTTGGAGATACATAGATCCTTCTGATTCAAAGAAAAATGTGAAGGTTGGTTCTGAGTAACACAAGACATGCTATATTTTCCTTTTTCCTCTGATCATTCGTTCTGTTTTCAGAGGTTTAGCTTTTGAGCTGTTTTAGTTAAACGTGATTGAGCCTGCATTCAATTGCATTCAAACAGTTGCAGGATGATTGTATGGTTATTACGAGTTGCTAAATCCAGCTCATACAGAAGTTTCTGCAGCTTAAAAGTAACGAAAGTGCTTTAGAAAATGGTTGTATAAGCCTCCAAGGCATAGGGAGACGTGGGAGTGCATGAAAGCTGGGTCATCCTGCCAATTCCTTGCCTTGAAAAATAAAGGATCAACAGCAAACTCGTTTGTGGTTCAGGACTGTCATATTATTCTTACTTGTAATGCTTAGTTTTTGTTGACTGGATTGCCATGTTTGGGTCATTTAGTTATTTGTATGTTGCTCGAAAAACTTTTGTACAACCTTGATGAGACCCTGTACAGCTTATTCGGCGATGGCCTTGAATTTCATCGATCAATTTCTCCGTCTCTGAAAATCTTCTCGAGGACAATGGTGCGTGCTGCAATGTGTACAAATTTGTTTCATATTTTTCAACAATCCTCCCCTCAATTTGCTGTCCGAGCCAGCACCATCAGGATTGCCCTGTCTTCCTGGAGAATTGTGACTTCAGCAAACGGCCTTTACGAAACATGCAGCGGAAATTAAGAAAACTTGATAAAGAAAAAGGATTGTGACTTTAGCTAGCAACTACAGCATGATGTGGAACATCGAGCCCGCGGACCCAAAAATAAAACCACAAAAAAGAGAAAATGTGTAAATCCTCAGAAAATCTCTTTATAGTAGAGTTTTTGATGCTTACAATCACTAATTGTAGGTGTACATATTAGACAGCAACAACATAAAATTCTTCGATGTATAATGGATGCTTTATTACATTTTATTCTACATAGGTCATCATGTTTTTTGTGAAGGGGAAAAAACTTGCCATACCTAATTGAAGATTTTTACAGCAGCTACCAACAAGAAGAAGGGGCTGCGTTGCAGTTAGCGTGCTGAAATTTTCAGAAAAACCAACCTGGTAAAGAGGAGTTTGGCAGATTACGGAGTTTTTCTTCAGAAGGCAAATAGGAGTCTAGCTCGAACCCAAATTCCAAATCCTAAAATCACGGGAGAAAATGATGATAATCATGCACGATATTAAATATTTCTCACCAGCTATTGTATCTAAATAGAGTTGGCAGATATTCGACAGATAGGACAAGAAGGTGTCTGTTGCAACCACGAGTCAATGCACTGAACATGGAAGCTATGGTTGCAAATGGGCAGCAATCTGCAAACTTCACCGATCTTGAAGCCCTCCAAGCACACAGCACATTCCTTGTGGGGGTCTTCTTCCTTGTACTGGAAACAAGGGAGTTTCTTTAAATCATCGATCGACATGCTTGCGCATTCTATGCCTGTTGTGCTGCTATCTCGATTAATTGGGACAGCCCCGGTAATGTTAATCATCTGATTTCGAGAAGTTCCTGCGCCACATCTTCGAAGAATGCAGACATGAAGCATTATGATAAGCATGATGCCAATGCTAGCTATTGCGGCGGACATCCATAGCTCTGCTACCATTTTGTCTAATTGGAGGTGTTCGATCTTTTCGAGCAGAAAAATTACACAATTTCAAGAATTGAAGAAGCCCAGATTGTATGTGGATTGGTTGCTAGAATTTTCTTAAGCAAGCTTCTGCAAGGGATGAACTCATGATGTATTGGTATATGTTTGTTTTGAAAATGGTAATTTTGTTCCTAGGCTGGAAATTAGTACTACTGGCACTAATAACGTAAAGGACATATTCCCATAGCAAACCTTGAATCGAATGACTTTTGTAAGAATGTTTTTACCGAAAATGAAAAAACAAATAAGAAGGCAAGAAGTAGATCTAATGAATTCAGAGTCTTGGAAGCTTTCTGATGAAAAGATCAAATGAGTTGGTCCAATCAAATTCATGGCGTACATTTGTCGACTCAAGTGATGATGCGCCAGCTAGTTGTTTACCGGTCTAATGCACATTTTTACATCCTTATCAAACGTAGACACATTTCTTTTGCATCTTTTGTATACGTTTCCGAACATGTAAATGGCCTATGGACACGAGACGCCTCCGGTCCAGACATGGTTCAAAGTCGTGGTCGAGGTCCGGAACATTCCATATTGATCTTGATATATTGATCGCGATTTCAGTAAAACACAAATTTTGAAACATTTAATATTTTAAAAATTGTTAACAATATAAAAAAAATATGCTAAACAAAAATAATAAAAAAATGGCAAAAGAAAATTTGTAAAATATACTTTTTTTATAGATATTAAACACAATGAGTACTTTTAATCATTTAATACAATGGCATCACAAACAAAATCAAAATAACACAGACCACAATTTTAAACTAATAATTGCAAAAGTAATATTAACCATTAACAATACAAAATAAGGATTTATTTATAGTATAAAGCTGGAATAATTTCGCTTCTTTCATGATCAATCTCCTATCAAAAACAAAAAGAAATCATATTAAATAAAAGACAAATATGTAAAAAGATAAACTATTATTTTATATTTTCGTACCTGTTAATACCAAATAAAATGACGATGTGGTTCAAAGTTATCATCATTTCTAGTTGAATAGTAAAACAAATGTGGAAGTGGCATAGGACCTTGAGTAGGTAGTGTATAAGAGTTATCTAGTGTATTTGCTGGATGTGAGGATTGACTAGGTGTTCTATAATCATTAGATGGAAGAACTTCTAGATTGAAGATGAATTGCTGAGTACGATGGTAGTATCCAAATTCTTAATAGTTAACATGATCACTAGTACTACATGATACAATAGAACTGAGTATGATGATAGTATCCAAACCCTTGATAGTTAACACTATCGTTAGTACTATACGATACAGTAGAATCATGACCATAAAATCCAATGCTATTGAAATCAAAAGAAAAACCGTCATGAGATCTATCTATTTCTTTTTCATAGTATCCACTATTATGAATGTTAGTAGACTTTTCGACCTGTCCAGGTCCACCAAATGGCCCATATCCAGCGAAATAGTTAGGAGTGATTTCATATAACTGGTCATAATCATATCCCAATTGACTAGTGCTCCAGTTTTGGCTAGATTCATACTCATAGATTGGGTATACACCCCAAATTTTACATCTGTTTATCGATTTCTCTTTATCTTTGTGATCTTGAATGGTGAGAGAAAGTATCCTCGCTCAAAAACTAAGTTAAATTATTGAAGAATTGACATTGTACTTCTATACCAAGACGATAGCCATGATCAGTATCTTGAATGGCATAACAATTATCTTGTCATTGAATCCATTACATACCTCTTGTTTTTTGACTATCTTGATTGTAACCACCATTGCGTTTCAAAGAATTGTCCCCTCCATCTCCATTGTCACCATTGTTATCATTATCATTACCACTGTCACTTTTATTAAAAAATGATGAAACAGTGTGCTTACTGGTTTGTTTAGTCTTAGTGCCTGTTTGATAACATAAAAAAGTGCTGAAACTGAATTCATTCAGACATTAAGAGGTTTTGGGTGTTTGATAAATAAAAATTCACCTACTGAACTTATTAAGTGGTGCTGAATTTGTATGTATTTTTTTCAGCATAAGAATCGTAACTGAATGCTTAATTTGATAAGAATCAAGAGATTTACTTCAACTACTTTATCTTATCTACTAAATCTATCCCTGTTTGTTAATTACATTCAAAATTCTTATCTAATTAAACAAAACAATCTGATATTCTCTATTCAAACAATCATTTCTAAATTTTTTAGATCAAATTTATATGTTATATGAATTATTGGATTGTAATGTTTCTTAATGTTTTGCATAATATATTTCTTCTTTTATATTAATTTGATTTAAAAATAAATATTGTCTTTTTCATACCTAACAATTTTAAGCTAATTAAATCATAGGTTCTATTTCCTTTTTGGATTAAAAGATAGAAGGGCAAAATTGTACAATTTAGCTTATTAAGCATTAAGTTATGAATATTTATCAAACAGTATAAATAGATTCAACATTAAGATTCAGACATTCATATACCTCTTTTTAGTGCTTAAAATTCAGCAAATTAATTATTTCAATATTCAGAATTCAGAATTCAAAACTCAGATTCAGTGTTATCAAACGGAGCCTTACTTTTCTGCTTCATACTTGATGATTCAGCAATACTTTTTTTTTTGGTAATATATTGGGACAATATATCACCAAAATCATCATTGTCATATTATTGATATTCACCACTTTCTGATTCAATATGATGAATGCCCTTATTCAACTAATCCAAATTATCTTCAAGCAATGTGAGTTTTTCATTTTCTCTTATCCAATCATCCAATACATCATCTTGGTGAAAAATGTGATTCAAGTCAATTGGGTTATAGAAATCATCAGTATCTTTTCGATGCATCAAATTTTTCACCTTTAATCGCATATTGTAATGCACAAAAACTAATTTATACAATTTTTTGACTGCCAAACGGTTACATAGTTTTGTATAAATTAATGACCATGTACTTCAATTTCGCTCGCAACCAGAGTTTGTGCAGGTTTGACTCAATATTTTCACTGCAATTTTCTTAGATTTGGCGCATCTTCACCGTAGTTAAGCCACCATTCAAATAAACAAACAAAGTAATAATAATAATAATAATTTATTATTATTATTATTATTTTAAGATTATAAAAATATTAACTTCATTAATACGATTTAAATGTTTATATAAGTATGAATTAAATTGAAACTTGATAATGATTTTGATAGTGCTCTTGCTGCAATAGCACTTCCAAATCCTCTTTTTTGGTCTACAAAAATAATATATACACAGGTATTAAATTTTTAAATTTGTTCATGAATATAATCGTTTATATAAATAAATAGAATAATCAAAATAATACCTCACTTATTGAATTAACTTGTGCATCTAAATTTGGTTCCGACTTTGCAATGACTTTCTTCAATCCTTTTCAAATTTCATCTAGATTAAACACACAAGTTCTAGAATATTGAAAAATCGGGTTCAAAAAAATGCTAAATACAATAAAATCATAAAATTAGAAAATAAATAAATACATATATATTACATATTTAAATTGCGTGTAATATTTTAAATTACCTGTTGTATGTAAATCACAATGAAGTTGGTTATATCATCTATTATCAATCACTTCCCAAATCTTTTTTTAAGATTTCACCGATTTTTGAATAGTCATTTTTGCTCTATCCATTGCCTCATAAATAATTGGTAATGTTGGTTTATTATCTTGATTAATAGTTTTAAAACTTTGACCAAAGGCTCCATTATTACACACATATTTCTAAAACTTCTTTGACAATATCAGCTTAACTACTTTAATAACATCTACTTTTCTCTTGGTAGTGTTATTAAACTCTACCCATTCATCTAAGGTGCACATTTTTTTCAGTTTTGTAGAATATCGAAGAAGACTTGCCATAGAAATAAATTCAGTTGCAAATCTAGTGATACCTGAACTTAACAGTTTCTTTTTTCTTGTGTATATTTTCATCGGATTCACTACTTTGTCACTGTTATATGTAACTTGTTATCTTCTTCCACTAAATAATAGTTTCTTTTATATTATCTATCTTGCCAATATTGTTCAAATCAAATTCATACAATGAGCAGCGTAAGGTGACCAAAATAGATTTTTTCTTTTTTCGTCAACAATTGTCCAGCTGCTTTCATATTAGATTCACTATCTTTCACAACTTGCACAATATTTTTTCTCTCACAACCACTACTATCTCGTCCATTAACTTGAAAATATATTAAGTAGTTTTCTTGACATTGATACAATCAACTGAACTATGATATATTATGTGCCTATCATAGTATACCATAAAATTTATTATTGGATGTTTTGTATGGGTGCTCCACCTATCACACATAAGTGTACAACCAAAAGTTGAAAATTTATCATAAATATCTCCAAGATATTTCTCAAACTCTTCAAATTTTTCATCTAAATATTCATTTCCAATTTGATAAGCTGGGGGGCCTTAAATACCAGAATCAATTTTGGCAATTTCATCAATCATTGATTGATAATAAGGATTGTCAGCTGCATGAAATGACATAGTATTGAAATGAAAAAAAATTTGAAATTGTGTTACCGACTCTTTT